TAATCCCGTTTACACCTCTGCAGTGAGCCTCAACCGCATTCTCAATCCCCCGACTGTCGCATCAATCAGTGATTCAAGCCAACGTTTTTAGTTAATCCACGCGAGCGAGATTCCCGCGAGACAAACGCAACTGGTTTACAAGAGAGAGATTGCAAGGTGTGAACGAGAGAAGGATACGTATGGTAACCACCTCATCCCACCACGGCATTAGTGCTCTGTGGCTTCCGAAAATCCCACCGGCACATTTTAAGTATAATAATAACAAAGTAAATGCATAACAGGGAAGAAAAATCATGCATATGCATGGATTCGGTAACGCTTTCCAACGTACATATGTTTTTGGAAGCGCTTTTTTGTCTAATTAACGGCAGTCAGAAAACAGGTACGGTAACGAGGCATACAGGAACAGCAACTGGAAAGTACCACAACGAAGCGGAGAGATTCGTGCTGGGAATCACATTGCGAGTGACGCGTGGATCAAGGAGAGAGTACGGAGCTTGAAGCCATCGCATTGATTGTCGAGGAAATGCACGTGGGGGTTTGGCTGTGACAACGTCGCGAGAGGGGATGACGGTCGATGGTCAAGAATTCCTATTAAACTAATTAGACAAATCTTTTAATGTAACCAGGTAAGGCGCACTGAGCTGTAAAGCTCTTTTTCAGACGCGACCTGATAGCTCAACGAAGTGGCTCATCATCATCATCACGTGTAAATGCCTAGCAGCAGACAAATGCTCTGAATAACGTCGGGGTTCATATTCTTAGGTTTTTTTTCGGTAAAGTCACGTAGGTAAGAAATTAATAAAAGTAAAATTAAAAAAAGTAAAATAAAAATAAAATAAAAATCACGACGTTTCGGAAGCTTCAGTCTTCACTTGAAGACGGAAGCTTGTGTTGCCTCCGAAACGTTGTGATTTTTATTTTATTTTTACTTTATTTTTTTTTATTTTACTTTTATTAATTTCTTACCTACGTGACTTTTCCGAAAAAACCTAAGAATATGAATCCTTGCAGTCACGAAAGCTTCAAATCTAGAACGTCGGGGTTGTTAGCCAAGGGACGGAGCGAGTCCCAGAGGACGAGCCCCTCTCGCTGTGCATGGAAACATCGGCTCCATCGTAAGTGCCACGTGGACCGTTACGCTGCTCCGACAGTCCGTCGAGGCTATACCGGGGGGTCGTTGTCTTCGCCGCGTTGCGAGACCGCTGTTCACAGAACCCTGAACGATGGCTATGGATTGGGGAGGCCTTCTTAGAGCAGCAGCGGATAGATCATGGCTGCTGCTGCTGCTGTTGATGATGAATATTCCACCGTTTCGCAATAGGCGATTGGGGACAGGGACCTGGGGCACGCCAAAGGTCACCACCTGTCCTGGCACTGCCAGCATCGTCCTCTTGTCGAAGCAGTTGTCCTGAGTCACGTGTCGGTCTTCCCCCGTGCTCGTCCGCCGCTTTGCTAACACCCCACTCAAGACGGCGAACGTGCACGCAACGAATCTCCGGACCTCCCTGTGGCATTGCGAGATGTTCCTCTTGCCATAGCGCCGCACTCCGACGCTCCTGGAACCTGGTTTGTTTTTATTCTGCGGCTTTTTTTGTTGTTGTGGTGGCGGCGGCGGTGGCGGTGGTGGTGGTGGCCCGTTTTTGCTGTGAGCACTGTCAGCAACCATTACACGCGAGGCCGTTTCAAATCGGCCGTGGCAGCGCGCGGCTAAATCTGTCGCGACGGCTGGCGGTCGATTCCTGGCGGCAAGGCGACTCACCCCCCCGGTGGCGGCGCGCCAGCCTCGTCGCGTTACTCGCAGCGCGCGAAAAGAAAACGGGGAAAAAAATATGTGACGGATAAAGTTTCAATAATCACGCTTGGTGTCCGGCCCCGTGGAGCTGTGGCGGAGAGTGTGACTTGCAAGCGTGTTCCGTTCAGCCGGCGAATATAATAATCGTCAGGATCATTATCATCATAAGTTCGTGATGTTCATCTAACTCTTGTTATCATTGTCATAATAAATGTTATCATCATTATTAGATCCACCACCACCATCATCATACATTCATCATTGTCATCATATAATCGTCACAACATCGTCATCTTCACTATCATCATCATCATCAATGTATTGTTATCATCTAATTACTGTCACAGTCACATGGTGATCTGTATTATTTTTGTTGTCGGCATTAGCATCAACAACAACAGCCGCCATTCACCACGAAGTGGTGTTGATGTCACCACGGCGCTTGTGCCAGGCTAGGTGCACCCCGAGGCGACGTGAATTGTTGAAGGCTCGCTGCTGGCAGGAGGTCACGGGACAGAGCCAGCAGGTGCCATGGATTGACTTACTGAGATGAATGGCAGATGCACCACCAGCTGTGACCCCCTACTGTGCCAACTTTCTGCATTTAAGCCGCCTATCACCATCGCCAGCACCACCACTACCATCTTCGTCGTCGTCATCATAATCATCATCCCCAGAGTCGATACGCTGGTGGGGAGCCAGCGGCGTGTGTCCCACAGGCTGATTGCGAGGCACCGCGCCTCGCGCCAGCCACTGTGCAGGCCCTGAGCTCAGAGCGAAATGCGTGGCGGTTTGGGCGGTGCAAGCGTGTGGGTTCGTTTAAAATAAAGCAAACGAGTCGACGGCTGGTAATGGGTTCCTTTTGTATGAACCAAAAAAAAGTCACTATTATTATCAAGCCGAGATTCAATTTTCGATTTGCCAAATGGAATTCATTGCAAAAAAAACTTGTGCGTAGTTGTTGGGGGGTGTGTCCCCCCCCCCCCCCCCCCCCACTTAATATTTTTTTTGCATTTGACCACTTACAGAGGTTTTATAAATTAAAATCTCGGGTTGAAGGATTTTTTGTGTGAATGTGGTCATTACATTGCAAGCATTATTTATGGTGCAATCGTAATATAAAATATAAAAATTGTGCAAATTAATTTTCCTTTGTCTCGGTCACTTTTCAATATTCTCTCGAACTAATTTCATTGGCCGACCGCTCGCGTTTCACCATGCGGTCAAAGGCAATCTCGGCACGCAGGACCGGTCGCTGCGTGGTTCATTTCCGTGGTGGCTAGGAGATGTTAACTACCTCTCCTGGTATATAGGAGGTCGTGGGTTCAATCCCGAACCTGACGCCTACTGCTGTATATTTGGAGTTTGCATGTCTCTCTCTCTCTCCCTGTGGCCGCATGGATTTTTCTCCGGGTCCTCCGGTTTTTCCCCTCCACATTTAGAATCAATGTGCGTTTAGAGAATGTCTGCTGTACATTTCCACACGACAATCCACATGGTTGGGCTACCATTTGCGGCCAGATCGCTTCCGAAAAAAAGACCGATATAGCTCAGTGGGCTTTACCTGGTAAAAGTAAATAAACGAAATGGTTTAAATTTTACTGCACGATCCGACCGCGCGACGTGGCTAGCGCCATGGGACGCGTGCTCACATCCGTGGCGATCGCTGTCCTGCCGAGTCGGTATCGATGGCGCGTGCCTGCACTGTGCACGTTCGGGTGACCTACTTAGACGCACGGTTGCCGCTGGTTGTTGCTCAGATCAGGTGCACGGTGCCAACGCTGACATCTCTGTGCGAGCAAAAGGAGGTCGCTCCAGTGATCCGATCTCGACGCAGGGAAGGAAGCCACTGAGTGGCTTCCGTTGTTTTTTTTTGGCCAGATTGCAGGCGGGCTCCATGAGGTTCGCCAACCACTTTGCAACGACGAGGAGTAGTCCTTCTGTACGATGATGACATTGAATCTAAATAATGCACTGGTTGCGAGGGACTCAGTACCGAGTGTACAGATCGCGCGCTACTGCGTAATGTAAAGGTTCGGTCATCAGCACAACCAGCATCTCTGTCACCCCGTAGAAGAAGGGAGAATAACGCGGACTCGGAAAATGCCCGGAATTTTATGTTGTCCAAATTCTTGGGGGTGTCTCTGAGCCATTTTTTTAAAGTTGTTGGGGCGTGTCCAGACCTTCCCCCCCCCACGTGACTACGCGCCTGTCAGTTGCACGTGAGCACATCACAGACCGCTCTCTCTCTCTGCCCGTACTGTGGGGGGCCTGCTGTAATTACGTGTTGCGGGGGGGGGGGGCTGGATCGGTATAATTAGCGGCCGCGTCGCCATCCGTCTGCCAGAAATCTGATCGACTCCTCCCTAACACCCCCCCCAATACCCTCGCCCCCCCCACAATACCCTCGCCCGCCCCCCACTCGGACTGCCGGAGAGACTGGCGACACGGTTTTATGAAGTGAGGCAACAGTTTTCTCGTGGAGGCATTGGTTGTAAAAATAATGATCGTTTACGTTTTGTGCTGCGTCATCCGTGCGTATCGCATCTCACAATGACGCTGTACAATCATGGTAGATGCTAGATCGCACACGTGGCGACAGCCTACTTATAACGACGATAAAGTAAATGAAGCGCTCAGAAAATAAAAATGTATTTACTAAATCAAGAAGCGGTATAAAACCAACGTATATTTGCCCTATAGCGGAACTGCTGGATTAAAAAAAAACTTCAATCGGGCAATTCCTCATAGTAAAACTACCCGCCAAGTAAAACATTAGATAACGACCCAAGGAAGCACACACTACTGAGCTACCTCAGAAATAACTTCAAGTGACCTCTGGTCCACACAGAAGGCTGCTCTCCAACTGAAATAATATATATGTGTTGTATCATCTGACACCTAAAGGGTGTTAATATTCTTAATCCCAAGACCTGGAATTATTTATCCATATTCGTGCGCGGGCCTGACACCACCAACTCCCCAGACTTTTTGAGCTGGGTTCCAGCCCAGGCGGTCGAATCCTGGATCCGAACTCGGGCTCTCACGGGTGCCAACTCAGCGCCCTTGACCTCCGCACCACCCGACCCGACTCACCCAACGCGAATTCTGCTTTCCCTTCGCCTCCCGTCTTCCCGTCAATGCCCCTACAACCCCACCCCTCCCTTTCCCACAACTCCCCCACCCACCCCCTACGTGGTGCCAGGCGGGCGGCAGGGCAAGAACCCCGTGACGGCCTTCGAGGTGTACGACGTCGAGGCGGGCACGTGGGCGCGCTTCCCGGACCTGCCGACCAAGCGCGCCTTCGCGGGCCACGCGCTGGCCGATCGGGCCCTCTACAGCCTGGGCGGCCTGGAACAGCCCGGCCTGCACAACTACTACTCGCGGCCCACCTTCGTGAGCACCGTCGAGACCTTTGACTTCACGCAGGGTGAGTGCCCCCCATCCACCCCCCCCATGCCCCCGTGCCCCTCCCCCCCCCCCCATCCAGCCTCCCCCCATGCACCCGTGCCCCTCCCCCCCCCCCCATCCACCCCCCCCCCATGCCCCCGTGCCCCCCCCCCCCCCATCCAGCCTCCCCCCATGCCCCCGTGCCCCTCCCCCCCCCCATCCACCCCCCCCATGCCCCCGTGCCCCTCCCCCCCCCCCATCCAGCCTCCCCCCATGCCCCCGTGCCCCCCCCCCATCCACCCCCCCCATGCCCCCGTGCCCCTCCCCCCCCCCCCATCCAGCCTCCCCCCATGCCCCCGTGCCCCCCCCCCCCCATCCACCCCCCCCATGCCCCCGTGCCCCTCCCCCCCCCCCCATCCAGCCTCCCCCCATGCCCCCGTGCCCCCCCCCCCCCATCCACCCCCCCCATGCCCCCGTGCCCCTCCCCTCCCCCCCCATCCAGCCTCCCCCCATGCACCCAGCGCGCGACGCTGGCCGATTGAAGATCGTCGCGGGTGTTTTGGCACCTGACTTTGGGAGGAGTTCTGGGCGTGGCGTCGCCACCTCCAGAGGTGTAAACAAAAACCCGGGGACAATGAAATTGGTTAAATCAACAACAACAACAATAATTAGAATGGTCAAAGTGATTTCTTGCTTAAATGAGCATTGACAGCTCGTTGGAGGACGTCGGGAGAAGGGCGTTGCGGCGGTGTCTGTGCGCCACGAGTGACGTGGAGCTCCTCTCGAGTGTAAGGGGATCGTGAATCACTCGCTCAATAAATGTAGGCCGTGAGCCCAGGCCAGATGTCACACTTGTCGGTACCACGTGAGGTGGCCGAACAGGTGTGGTTACAATGTCTCTACGAGGCCAGTAAATAGTGATTCATGCGATAACCGCGTGAAGTGAGTGAGATGAATCAAGCAGTTCACTCATTAGGCACATTTATAAATCGGCACTGCTACAATTTTGTTGCCTTAGGTGGTACCGATTTCTGCTTTGGCTCATGGCTAATGGAATTACCGAAACTCCCAAAGTAGCAGGGCCCTCCTGAAAGGCAGTCTTGAGACTCGGTGAAGTTTTCCTGGATAAATAAATCACAAGTCAAAGTCAAAACAATTTTCCTAAGCGAGGCTCATCTATTCACAGACCTGAGCCAGTGGTGGAAATTCCACATTCCTATGGCAGGGGCAAAAGTATCCTAAACACGCCGCACACCGCACCCAGCACGCTTACCCAGCACCCAGGACGCCGCATCCAATACCCTGCACCCAGCCCCCTGCACCCAGCATCCTGCACCCAGCACACCGCACCCAGCACACCCCACCCAGTCCACTGCTCTCGGCACGCCACTCTGGCTGCGCTGTTCATCCACAGGACCGCGACAAAGTTCCGTGATAGCACAGTCGTGTCGCCCGCAGAGAGCCTTTGGTGCGTCGTCGGACGCGTGGCTCTCGCTTAAAACACCTCGTCGGATCGACAGGGGCCGAGAGAATTAAAATCTACCGAGAGATAAAGGAGAGTGACGCGCGGAATCCTGAGTGCCACCGTCTCCACACACGCCCCGCCTCCAACCTTTACCCGCCGTGCCGCTGCGAGACTCAAATGTATGCCACAAACGACCCTGAGCCCGCGTTCCGATTAATTTAAGTGAAGCGAGACGGCGCGCCGTTAGCGGGACTGCGTGCGAGCGACAACACCGGCGCTTAAGGAGACGCAGTAGGCGGCGGCCGCTTAATCTCATCATAAATCCAGTTAAGGGGGGCTTACGGGAAGGGGGGGGGGGAGAACTTATAATTAAAAGTCAATTACATTAAGCGCGGCGGTGTCGCTTCCCCGTAAGGCCAGCGTGCACGTTAGGGCCCCGCGTCTTGCACGCTGCCACGGCTGACACGGCTGCCACATTCACCCCCAAAGATGGAACGGGTTTGCGGCAGTAATTTCTGGCTCGCGGTGAAGTGTAAGATATCTTATTTTTTCTTCACGGAAAGCATTATTATTATCGTAAAAAGATACTCTTTTTTTTTACACACGTAAGGGTTGGGTTAGGAAGTTTTAAAAATGAAACGGTCCGCGTAAAAAAAATCACATCAAGCGGGAAAATATTTGGCGTATTTTGTGGCTTCTGGCATCTGCTTATCATTTAATAGACTAACACCGCTCGCGTAAAAGGCCGCTATGGTAATAAAAAAATGCACAGCGCATGTGAAATGTATTTATCCGGTTCTCCAAACTTTCTGACAGCCTCTTGTATGCGAGGATGCGCCTGCACATGAGTGTTTCTGTGCGATCGTGAGCGTGTGGTGTGGTGTGTGTGCATCAGCGAGTGTCTTTGTGCGTGTGAGCGCGTCTGTGCACGGGCATGAGTGTGTGTAAGTGCCTGGGCGAGTTTTTGTGCGCGCGCGCACGTGCGTGTGTGCGAAAATGTGTGGGTGCTCTAGTGTTTGCGTAGTGCCTGAGTGAATATTTGTGTGTTTGCGTGTGTGTGTGCGTGTGTGAGTGGGGAGCGGTGGTGTAGCGGTTAGCGCGCTGCAATACAAACCCTTGCGACCCGAGTTTGATTCTCGCTCACGTCAATTATCTAAATGGGCCCTGGGCCTCCCCTAGGTCGGCTCAGCCACGCATCGCACCACAGTACCTGTGCTCGCTAACAGCACCTGCCAAAACACTCTGCTACAGGCTACACGGGGGCACGGGGAGGAAGGGGAAGGGGCTTTCGCGTGCGTGCCATTGCTGATGGTTGAGAGGCAGACGAGACGGGTCCCGGGCCGCGCGCCCGCTCCGTCGTGCGTGGAGCTGCACGTCAGCGTGCGAGGTCGTTCGGGCTTCGTGAAGCGAGAGTGACAGAGGGGGGGGGGTGTTCGTTGGCGTGCACGCTGCGGCCCAATCCCCAGGGGCCTCGTTTAATCCTCGTCACGCGCCTCGTTAGCAGTCGGTGCCGATGCTGAGCGATGGATGTGTTGAGTTCATCATAATCATTATTATCCCAGTTGGGGCTGGACTCGGCCCATCACTTTGTATAGGGTCGATAAAATACGTACCGCTTCGTGGACGAGTCAACAGTCGTTGCCCAATGGTATTTAAACCCACACCCGTCATGGGGATGTGAAATTGCCACCGCTGACTCGTGGCTGTGAACGGGAGGTCAGCCTCGCCTAGGAAATCGTTTTGACTTTGACTCGTGATTGGTTTCTCCGGGGAAGTCTCTGATGACTCTCTCTCTCTCCACCAGTCGTGCTGCGACATTGCGACGCTTTGGTCAATGCCATTGAATGAGTGATTAATGATCCCCTCGCAGGCACGGGAGTCGCCCAGTGACTCTCGCTAATGACCCAGAAACCTCATCGCGTTCACGTCCTCGGGGCAGTCCGCGCGACGCCGCCGCGGTGCGGGGACGAGAGTGGCTCAGTCGCCGCGTGTGCTCATCGGCTGCATCGGCACGTTCGGCCGACTCCGTTAACGAGCAAATCGCTCCGCGTGGGTTGAGAGATATCGGAGAAGCCCCGTCAATACCCACCGCGCACCGTGCCAGCGGGCGACACTAAAAGCCCCCGCACAGGTGGATTCAAGAATTCGTTGTTGTAAGGCGCTCGCTGTGTGAAAGGTGCAGGGTCCTTTGACTTTTTGCGTGCGTGTGTCTACGAGTGAGTGTGTGCGTGTGTCTACGAACGAGTGAGTGTGTGTGTTTACGGGTGAGTGTGTGCGTGAGTGTGTCTACGAGTGAGTGTGTGTGCGTGTGTCTGCAAGAAAGTGTGTGTGCGTGTGTCTACAAGCAAGTTGCGTGTGTCTACGAGTGAGTGTGTGTACGTGTGTCTACAAGCAAGTGTACGTTTGTCTACGAGTGAGTGTGTGTGCGTGTGTCTACAAGCAAGTTGCGTGTGTCTACGAGTGAGTGTGTGTGCGTGTGTCTGCAAGAAAGTGTGTGTGCGTGTGTCTACAAGCAAGTTGCGTGTGTCTACGAGTGAGTGTGTGTACGTGTGTCTACAAGCAAGTTGCGTGTGTCTACGAGTGAGTGTGTGTGTGTTTACGAACGAGTGTGTGTGTGCGTAGTGTCTACGTGCGAGTGTGTGTGTGTGTGTGGCTATGAGCAAACAAGTGCGCGTGTGCCTATGAGCGTGTGTGCGTGTGTGTGTGTGTCTACGAGCGAGAGTGTGCGGCAATGTGAGTGTGGGAGTGCATTAGTGTCTGCATGCAGCCGGTGATGAATGGGCGATTGGTGCACGGGCACGCGCGAGCGGTTTTAAATCTTTGGGGTGGATTTGACCTTGAAGCATCGGCGAATTTGGGTAAATTTAGGTTCAGGGAGGGAGGCCGTCAACTATTTCTAAAGCGTTTGCGTCACTGCGTTTGCGCACGTGCACCCGTGCGTGCACATCCACCTTTGTGTACACGTGTGCGTGTGTGTTCGCGTACTGTGAGCAGCGGTGGTATAGTGCTTAGTGCATAGCACTACAACCTGAGTTCCTGTCATGATGGACATCAGTGATGAGCAAACTCTCAACCTGCATATGGCATCCTTTTTTGCCGGTATCAAGGTGATCGACACAGCCTCAAATAAGCAGCCGGCGCGGTGTGTAAAAAAAAAAACCCCATCAGCACTGGGGAGACAAAGGGTGACGGGGGCGTGATGTTGGCCTTAATAGGCGCTCACTAACCGCATTGCAACGGCTGTCCCGCCGCGCTGCGAACCCAGCGACCCGAGTTCCATGTCAAGCCGACGGCTCCCGTCAGCAGGCGATGCTGTCCGCCCTGCTCCACGTGCCCGTGTTTGTGTGTCTGTGTGTGTTTGTGTCTGTGTGTTTGTGTGTGTCTGTGTGTCTGTGTGTGTTGTGTGTGTTTGTGTGTCTGTGTGTTTGTGTGTCTGTGTGTCTGTGTGTGTTTGTGTGTCTGTGTGGCTGTGTGTGTTGGTGTTCGTGTGTCTGTGTGTCTGTGTGTGTTGTGTGTCTGTGTGTCTGTGTATGTGTGTTCGTGTGTGTGTCTGTGTGTCTGTGTGTGTCTGTGTGTGTCTGTGTGTTGTGTGTGTGTGTGTCTGTGTGTCTGTGTGTGTTTGTGTGTCTGTGTGTTGTGTGTCTGTGTGTGTCTGTATGTCTGTGTGTCTGTGTGTTGTGTGTGTGTGTGTTGTGTGTTTGTGTGCCCAGGTGGCTGGGTGAGGTCGTCGCGAGCCCGGAGCATGCGTGAGCGCCGGGCCGACTTTGTCGCCGGGTTCCTGGGCGGCCGCGTCTTGGCCATCGGCGGACTCGGTGAGTTTCTCCCCCCCCCTCCTCCACCCCCTCCCCCTCCTCGTCCAATACCAACACACAGCCGCCATTCGCCACTAAGTGGCGGTGACGTCACCACGGCGCCTGTGCCAGGCCAGGTGCACTTTGAGGCCACGTGAAGTGTCGAGGCCGCATCCTCCTCCTGCCCCTCCTCCTCCTTCACCACCACCACCTGTTCACACGTCGAGAATCGCATCACATGCCCATCGCGCTCCGGGATGATGAACAGCACTGCCCGTGATTTGTTTCTGATCGAGCCGCCACCATACACGCCGCGGCCACCTCGGAGCGCTTCGCACGCGATGCGCGTCTTGCGACGCACGTGCATCACACACCTCGGTCGTTCCGATGCCCGGGAGTAGCTATTCTCTCTTGAACCCAGGGGGGGGGGGGGTTAAGACTGCTGTCTCTAGAGGGGTCTCTCCAGAGCTCCCCCTCCAGAGCTCCTCGTTGAGTGGGGGCCCTTCCAGCCAGCAGTGGCGTGAACGAGCACTTGCAGGTGCTGCGCCTCTATCTCTTCGACCAATCGACGTCAATTCGCTTGGACAGTCGAGGCCCGCGGCGTTGGCTCGCGATGTCCTCTGCGTGCGAACTCGTCCCGAGTCTCGCTGACAGCAGCAGCAGCAGCAGGAGGTGTCAGCGGTGAGTCGGGTGGTCCAGGATGGGTGAGGGCGGGCGCGAGGTGCCACCCAGGTCAGCGAGGGACCTCGGCCTGATCGGTCGCGGTCTTTAGGGTTCGCATCATCATCATAGTCATCGTCAGCAGCTCTACGTCGTCGAGTGGCATCGTGTCACGGGACGGAATAATCCGAGTTCCCAAAAAAAAAAAAACTCTCTCCCCGGAAGCAGTCGCACCCGCCCTGTGCTAGCGGACGACCCCGGGAAGTTGATGTCATAGAAGTAGTTCTGAAGGCCTTTCAAGAGGCCTCTTTATCCGCACAGACGCTTTTTAATACACCCGGCGAAGAGGGTTAATTGCATATTGATTAGAATGTTTATCTCTCTCAGAGTCGGCGTGATTCCCTCTTCAAATGAGCATTGCAGCGGTGCCCAGCCCCCGTTCACAGCCCCCCGTGAGTGATAGAAATGTCCTATTCCTATTTAGAGGGGCTGATTCTACCCACGGGACAACAACTGTTGACGTCCCCCCAACGTGGTACATTTTTATCGACCCCGGAGTGATGGTGGAGGCCGAGTGAACCCCCAACCAGAATTTCAGAATCAGAGTATTCCTCCTGGAGTAATCCGACGAGCCTCTAAAGCTCTTTTGTTCACAGACGTCCAGCAGTGGGCGGGTAACGACGCTACAACGCACAGATGTGAACCTTCCGATTGCCAGCCGGCTCAAAGGCCGAGCCACCCGGTTTGATGTCGTCGCTCTGTGACCCAACTAACCACGACGTCTCTCCCCACCGCGTACCCTGCCCGGCTTGGCCCGGCTTGGCCTGGCACGGCCTGGCACGGCACTGCTCGGCTCGGCACGGCTCGGCACGGCTCGGCACGGCACGGCGCCAGGCAACCAGACGTCCCCGCTGGCGTCCGTGGAGGGCCTGGACCCGGAGCGGGGCCGCTGGGAGTCGCTCGCCTCCATGCCCACGCCGCGCTGCTCCTGCTCGTGCGTCGCCCTGGACGGGCGCCTGCTGCTCGTGGGCGGCGTCAGCCAGGGCCCCAGCGACGCCGTCGAGGCCCTGGGCGTCCTGGACGACGTCTGACGCCGGCCCGATGGACGTTGCCGTCGGCTGACGCGGGGAGGAGGAGCCCGGGCCGCACGCCGCGGCCATCCAAGGCGGAAAAACGAACGACGTGGGAGGAAGGAGGGAGGATGTTTGCGTTGGGACGCGCTGGTGGCGGGAGGCCCCAAGCGAACGAAGCAAAAGTGTAGGGCCCCAAGCGGCGCAAGGGGCCATGGCTGAATAAGCGGAGATGCACCCAAATATCAGCTCGAGTTCAGATGCTATTCAACGTAGCGAGAGAATGAATGTTAATTGACAATTCACCTGTCATCCCTCTGTCTCGTCTATATCCCCTCTCTTATCTCATCGCATTACACATCGACCTATCGTTTGTTTTCTTGGTCCACATTTCTCTCACGTCGCTACATCTCTATCCGCCATCCACATCTCGTCTGGGTCATCTCACTCGGAGTTTGTCATTGAAAGGGGGCGAGGGGTTAGCGGGGCAGTGGAGGGGGGGGGAGCAGTGACCCCCCCCCACCCCCCCAACCCCCACAATGGGCCACTGGTGGAGACGTGGAGCACTCACGTGGCGACATTCACACTCACGCAGCTCGGCCTCGCTCGCTCGCTCAGCGCCGTCGGTGGGGGGGGGGGGGGCGGTGGTGGGTTGCGACTGTGAGCCAACGCGGAGGCGTTTGCGTCGTTCTGTGGTGCTCATCGGAGGCGGCTTTGCGCCACCGATGAAAGGCGGCGTGGCGGTGCGGGAGCCTCGTTACAAAGCGGCGGCCGCTGCCGAGGAGGAGGCGGGCGGGAGGGCGGGTGGTGAATCGCGGCCGTCACGCGCGCCGGTTACCGCGGTGCGGTGGGTGCCTGACGTCGCCGCGTAGCTCCGCCGCAGAGAGGAACAGAGGAAGGGGGACAAGTCGTTTGATGCGGGGGAATCGAGGGCGAGCGATGGCTAAAGGGGAGGAGGTAGGGGGGAGTGAACGGCGTTTTGACGGCACGCGTTTTGCGAAATGCTAAACAGCGAAAAACCGCGGTGGTCCTTTGATTTGGATTGAAAAACATTGTAAAATATATGTGTGTGTGTGTGTGTAGAGGGGACTGGCGAATTGATATATACAGGGACAATGCTGTACAAAGTAAACATGTAATGTGTACAGAATGCACAATGTGTGTATATTTACTCTATACTGTGTATACGCACGCACACGGGCAGCAGGCGTAATGTCACGGCGTATTTTTCATATGGATGTGATGGGTGTATGTCGCATCGTGGAGGGTTAGGGTGTGTGGTGTAGGGTGGAGGTGGTTGTGTAGGGTGGTGGTGGTGGTGGTGCAGGGTGGAGGTGGTTGTGTAGGGTGTCTGGTGGTGGTGGTGTGTGGTGTAGAATGGAGGTGGTGGTGTAGGATGTAGGGTGTACGGTGAAGGTGTAGGATTAGGGTGTATGAAGGTGTAGGGTGTATAGTGTATGGTGTAGGGTGTATAGTGTATGGTGTAGAGTGTAACGTGTATGGTATAGGGTGTATAGTGTATGGTGTAGGCCGGAGGGTTATGATGGTGGAGGTGGTGACGGAGGCTGCTGGTTGCGGTGGGGGCAGATCGCTGGCGGTACGACCGTCTCCTCCAAGACCAATGCAGCAGCAGCATCGTCTGCGCGCGTACCATCCGTAGGTAATCTTACGTCCGTGGGCAATCGTCTCGTTAACAAGGAGACCCAATTAAGCAACTTCGCGCGGAAAGAGAAAGCGGGTTCGCGGGCCAGAGCAGTGATTTAGTAAAACAAAGCAAAACAATTCAAATAAAAAAATGTAAAACGAATTCTGGTTCGGGATTTCGATTGTGTGACCACCCCGCGGAGCACGTGGATGGCAGGGGCCCGTCCCGTGGTGGTCCAGCCAAAGAAAAACATTTCCCGGTGCCTTCACCAAGCGCTGACCTTCAGAAAAAACTGGGTCAGGTTTGTCTCTGGGACGCCATCCATCATAGCGCGGGAGCCCGCGGGGGTTGACAAAGCAAGCGAAGCGGGGTGGTGGCGGCGGGGAAGGAGGCATGAAGAGCGGGGAGGGAGATACAGCCAGGGACAGAGAGTGCGAGAGTGAGAGAGAGCGTGAGAGAGAGAGCGTGAGAGAGAGAGCGTGAGAGTGAGAGAGAGCGTGAGAGAGAGAGCGTGAGAGAGAGAACGAGGGAGAGAGACTGAGAGTTAGAACGAGACGGACACGAGCACAAAAGAGAGAAACGCAAGCGATTTTTATTCCGGAGAAATCCCCGTATTGAGACACGATATTAATTTGACAACAATCAAGACACAAGCAAGAGGGCTCGTAAATGTATATTACAACAAACAAATATCCCAAGATATAAATGCACATTTATTTTTGTTGATAAACGGCGAGCCGCCGCCGCCCTCGTTATTCGGTCAAATTCCTGGACGAAATCTCGGCGTCTCGCGGGGTCGGTGTGCACAGTGAGGACGCCGCGCCACTGGAAGATGTGCCGAGTAAATGCCAGGAGGAGCAGGAGGAGCAGGAGGAGCAGGTGGCGGTCGAGTGGAAAATAAATCACACGGCCCCGCGGAACGATGCCCGGAACGAACACGTTCCCTAGCTACCTTCCCCCCAAACCATCCAACCCCCACCACCAGCAGCAGCAGCAGCCTCCCGCCGGCGAGCGCAACGGAAAATAATCTCGTGGATTAAAATCCCGCGCGTTTATTTTCTACACGAATATATTTTTATTTTGTGTTAATTTACGCGAACTCAGACAAGCTTTTCGGTGTGCGCGCGCGCGCGTCCGTCCGTGCGCGCGCGTGTTCGCGCGCGTGTTCGTGTGCGCGCGCGTGTTCGTGCGCGTGTTCGTGTGCGCGCGCGTGCGTGAGAGATCCCGTAATCGAGGAAGGATCTTGACTGTCTCCGCGTTGTAAGGCGACCGCCGATGTCCGCCGTCACCTCGCGAACGCACGACGGCGCGCGCGGCCCGGGCGCGGAATTCACGCGGGCAGGAGGCGGGGGGCGGGCGGGGCGGCTGGAAGGCCTCTGCCGGAGTTTCGTGCGCGATGGGCAGCGACGGGCTGCCCTGTCTCGCCGGCTACGCGTTATGTCTCCGGGCGTTTTCTCAGGGGTGTCCGTGCGTGTCTCCTTCGCCTCGTCGTCTTGTGTCTTCTCGACCCTGACCGTCTGATGCGCGAGGGACATCTCGTTGCAATGCCGCTGCTTCTTCCTGTCGGTGTTCTTGTTGGACAGGAGGCGCGCAGCCACGCGCGCTGGGGGTGTCGGCACCGTCCCTGTCTCGACTGATCGCGATCCGTGCCACACGCACACCACGAGGGAGGAGGGGGGTGTGGGTCTCCCGTTCGTTGCCGTGCCTAAGAGGAGTTCTGCTTCGAATCAGAGTGGGAAGTTCTTCGTTTCCCCGTCGAGCAAGGCCTGTTGTTGAGCTACGAAGCTCGCTTTGAAGGGCGACTCGGCGAGCAGATGACAGCGTTCGGCAGCAGAGTGTTGGACATTTTCAAGTTATACGCGGGTCTTTTAAAATCGATAACTGCAGGGTGGTCCAGATGTCTTGTGACGACAAATTAATTAACATGTTTTTTCGCATTTTTGTTTTACATAAACCGTACGCCAAAAAATCTTAAGTTAGAGAATGAAATAGGGGTCACGTGACATCTGAACCACCCTGATATTAAATTCACTCAACTACTGTCTGCTGCTGACTCAGTTCTGCGTCGGCTGTTCGTGCGCTGCTGTGCATTTGTAGAGCTTCCCAATTCGCACTTACGTCACCGAGTTTAAAGGGAGACAAACTCCCCAACAACAACAAAAACCCAGACTCCCCAACAACAAAAACCCAGACTCTCCACAACAACAACAACAACAAAAACCCAGACTCCACAACAACAACAAAAACCCAGACTCCACAACAACAACAAAAACCCAGACTCCACAACAACAATAACAACAACAACAACAACAAAATAACATTATTTGTTTCTGTCGTTCAAGTTTAATGGGTGTCTCTGAGCGGCATCGAAACACGCTGAGGTTGTCCAGACGCTCACAACACCCACAGTGTGCCTGTGCCCGTGCTTGGGAACATTCCAAAAATACTGCATCTATTTAAATATAAAAATGTGAATCCATGCGTCAGTTGTTGGCCGCTGATAAGCAATTCAGAGCACACCATGTGTTGTCAGCACAACGAATATTCCAACACCTTTTAAGGGCTTTAGAATAAAATGGTATTTTAATTGTCGGAACGCAACGCAACAGCGGTGTTGTAGTTATTAATCGCTTTCAACTCACGCGGGCAAGGCAAGAGTGGTTATTGTAAAAAAGAACAAAGACGAGTGTGTGATTGAACAGCGAGATATGGAAATTCTGTTAAAGGGAGGCAGCATTTAAAAAACAACAAAATACACAGGGCCTCGAGGGATGCTCCGGAATTTTATAAAAAAAAAGAGCTATTGTCTGCTATTTCCCTCCCTTGGCGTAATGTTCATCGTCGCGAAATAAAAACCAAAAAAATTCAGGAAAATAACGCAACTCCGGAAGTCATTCGTGAGGCTCTGCGCGAGGTTTGCCGCTCATCTCGGGCCAATTTCCAGGATTTGAAGTTCAATTTGTTACCACCACGGCTTTTTTCTTCAACGAATATTTCCTGGGTCGTTGGGTGCCACGGTGGCTAGGAGATGTTAACTACCTCGCCTGGTATACAGGAGGTCGTGGGTTCGATCCCGACCCTGACACCTGCTGTATATTTGAAGTGTGCATGTTCTCCCCGTGGTCGCGTGGATTTTTCTCCGGGTCCTCCGTTTTTTCCCTCCACATTTAGAATCAACGTCACGCGTTTAGATAACTTGCTCGCGACAAATGTCCACGTGAAAAGCAACTTCGTTGAGCAATCATTTGTGGCTCAGGTATCTTCTGGAAAAGAGCTACATAGATCAGCTAGCCTTACCTGTTGAAATTAAAAATAGTTTAGTTTTAGTTGCCACAACCATAGGGAGAGGTAAACTGGATGTGGTGTGCCAGCGTGGAGACGCTATCTGGGTCACCGACCTGGCTGTAATTCAGCCCTGGTCCCCGATGTAAGTCCACGGAACCCTGTGCATGCCTATGGGTCTTATGTAGCTCCATTGTTCCTAATCGCGGATTCGCCACACGTTGAGCCCCGACTCTTTCCCCCGAAGAAACAGGCGTCACGGTGGGGATCGTACCCACGACCTTCTGTATACCAGGCGAGGGAGTTAACATCTCGCCACCGTCGGACAGCCGTACGGCACAACCGCGACAACTCGCAGACGTTATTTCAGAATCACAATCCTCATTTATCCTGGAGAAATAGCGACGAGCTACGCAGCTCTTGTTCACACGCGTCCACGATGGACGGTGAGGCCCACGGAGCCCCCACGGCGCTTCCTCGAGGAGGACCAAACCTCACGCGGTGGCCGCGGACAGCTCCTTGGCTTGAACGCGCAGCGAGCGGTGTTGCCGCCTGTACACGTGGCAAAAATCGCCGATTCATAATCCCCGAGGAGGTCACGCACTTGTAAGAGCGTTATCTGCCCGACGGTAGCGCGCCGCAAATTTATTTTTTAATTCGCTTTAAAAAGGCTGTCAGGATTATGAAAAAGCAGAAATCCCAGCGGGTAAGTTTTGACAAACCGAGGACGTTCGAAGAAGAAAAAAACACCCACAGCCACCGCCGCTCCGTCGCTCCCG